CTCCGGGTGTGTGGCCGCTCTCGGAGCCACGGAGCCCGGGGACATGGAAGCCTGGTGGTCGGGGACAGCCACGCAGTGCCTGAGAAAGGCCCCTGCTCGGGCGGTCAGTCTGGTGACCGATTTTGAAATTGGTTTGAAGTGTCATGTGCCAGCCGTTCCCACACCTAGATGACCAGGGGAATCCGTGTGGGGACTTTTAAAGAAACGCGTTCCCACGCCTTGGCCGGTTTGGCTCCGTGGATAGAGCATCGGCCTGAGGACTGAAGGATCCCAGGTTCGATTCCGGTCAAGGGCATGTACCTTGGTTGCGGACACATCCCCAGTGGGGGATGTGCAGGAGGCAGCTGATCAATGTTTCTCTCTCATCGATGTTCCTAACTCTCTATCCCTCTTCCTCTCCCTTCCTCTCTGTAAAAATCAATAAAAAAATATATTAAGAAAAAGAAACGCATTCCCAGGCTCCATCTGCAGTTTCTCAACTAGTCAGTGCAGGGTGGAGCCCGAGAATCTGGGGCTATTGACTCCACGCCGGCTCTGACCGGCCCCACTGCCCTTCCCCAACGCCCGCAGATGATTGGTTCCAGAAGCCCAGTCCCGTGGCTCTTCTGTGAGGTCCTCTCTGCAGCCTGGGACGCCCTCTGGCCATGGTCCCTGGCCCAACGCAAGTGTCAGTTCCGTGACTGAAGGCCCAGCTAAGCTGGGGGATGGAGGAGGGTAAGCCTCCAGGTGTCCCCTCACTCAGGGGGCCTCTCCTGCCATGGCCTCCCTCTCCCTCATCCCGCCATGGCTCCTGGGCTCTGAAGGATGGAGAAGACGGAGTGCCTGAGGCTGTGTGAGTGAGGGCGGGCTCTACCTCAGGGCCTGGATGAGGGTGCGGAGAGTGAGGCCGGGACCCAGGTGCAACATGTAATGACCAGAACACTCAATCATCACGACAGAGAATGGTCAATGCCCTGTTTTTTAAAAGTCAAAATTAATCCAAATAACTATGATGAACAAAATATCAAAACAAGAAGGGGAGAGTCAGTAAGGGTGCCAACCATGTCCGAGCCTGCGATAGAAGGAGTAATCAGCCATAGAAGCGATGCAGAGCGGGGGAGAATTCAGAGCATGTGCTACCCTGCTCCCTCCCTCCCGGCTGCAGGCTGGCAGCGTCCCCCCGCACCCCCATGGCTACAGCTCTTGTCCAGCAGCCGCAGCTCTTGCTGGTTGGGTAGCCACCTCGCTCCTCTGTGCTGCTGCTCCTCCCAAAGTGCTCCCCCACTCCCTGTTGTCCTCCTGTGGAAACTGTCCCTGAATTAAACAGTCCCCCATTGAGAGAGAGAGAGAGAGAGAGAGAGAGAGAGAGAGAGAGAGAGAGAGAGAGAGAGGGAGAGAATGCAGAGAACAAAGAAAAAAAAGGATGCAAAGAGCAGGAAAAAGTGTCAAACATTTTAATTTTAAATATCTTTAGAAGGAGAAGATCTTACATCTCTGGCACAAGAACAGGAACCTTTTTAAAGAAAAGAAATAATCAGAAAATAACAGAGAGCTCTTGGAAATTAAAAATATAAAAGTAGCGGGGGGGGGCGGGGGGTACGGAATCGGCAACATTAAGAAAATAAGGTTTCCCGGCTGGCATGGCTCAGAGGTTGAGCATCGACCTATGAACCAGGAGGTCACGGTTCGATTCCCGGTCAGGGCACATGCCCAGGTTGTGGCTCAATCCCCAGTAGGGGTCGTGCAGGAGGCAGCCAATCAATGATTCTCTCTCATCATTGATGTTTCTCTCTCTCTCCCTTCCTCTCTGAAATCAATAAAAATACTTTTTTAAAAAAAGAAAATAAGGTTGAGGAGCAACCACCACTGAGTGGTCTTCAAGCTGTTCTTCCACAAAATTTTTTTTTGTAATTTATTGATTTTAGAGAGCGAGATAAAGGGGGAGAGAAAGAGAGCAACGTCACTTTCAGGGATCAAGCCCACAACCCTGGGGTATCGGAAGACACTCTAACCACCTGTGTTACTCAGCCAGGGCCCACAAACTCTTAAACAGAATGGAAATGAGGATGACAGAAAATAAAGTTTCTAAAAGTTTGGGGGGGAAAAGAAAAAAAAAGAAGACTGAGAAAATCTCCCCCAAAGTGGAATAACAATAACATGCAAACTAACAAATAAACAACAAAAAGTGTGCCCGGCCGGCGTGGCTCCGTGGCTGAGTGCCGACCTATGAGCCAAGAGGTCGAAGTTCCATTCCTGGTCAGGGCCTGTGCCTGAGTTGGGGACTCCATTCCCGGTGGGGGGCGTGCAGGAGGCAGCAGTCCATGATTCTCTCTCATCATTGATGTTTCTCTCTCTCTCTCCCCCTCCCTTCCTCTCTGAAGTCAATAAAAATATGTTTTAAGAAATTAAGTAAAATAATGCAAAGGGACGGACAAAAAACAGAAGTGATAAGAAAGTTTGAGGACCGTTCCCCAGGAAGGACGTCAAATCCAGGGAAACTGTAGAGAGAAGAGAATGTGGTAGGGGGACGATTATCAAAGAAACGAAGAGCAAGACTTTGCAGAGCTGGTGAATATGAGTCTCCAGGTTGAAACAGTCCATCAAACATTCGGCCGCAGCAGAGCCCTCACCCTCGGGGGCTGCAGGGAACACCGGCAGCTCCCGGAGGAGGGGGAACACACACAAAAAGGGGGCAGAAGAATGGCCCCAAACCTCTCAACAGTGACGCTGGGAGCCAGAAGACAATGGCGAGGTGCCTGCAAACTTCTGAAGGAAAATTATTTTTAATCTAGAATTCTATATTCAGCCAAACCATCCATCAAGTGTGAAACAGAATAAAGGCATTTTCAGACATACAAGCTCTCAAAATAATTTTCTCTCCCGTGTAACCTTTCTCAGGAAGCTAAACAAATGAGGGGAAGAAGCAGGAACAACACAGGGTCAATAGAACAGGCTGGCTCAGTGGTTGAGCATCGACCTATGAGCCAGGAGGTCACGGTTCGATTCCCGAGCAGGGCACATGCCCAGGTTGTGGGCTGATCTGTAGTGTGGGGCGTGCAGGAGGCAGCCAATCAATGATTATCTCTCATCATTGATGTTTCTATCTCTCTCTCCCTCTCCCTTCCTCTCTGAAATCAATAAAAGCATATTTTTTAAAAAGAGAACAGGATGCCCAACACAGGCGAGAGACCAGAGGTCCCAATGATGAAGGAGGTCTGAGGACGGCTGTGGGGAAGCAGGGGGCAGCCAGTGCAGGTTGGAGCAGGACTATGAGAGGTTTCGGGGGGGTGGGGGTGAGGGCAGGGGAGAGCTGACAGGTTTGACTACCCCCGAAAATTATAATTGAGGCTGTTAAACAACAAAATTCAACAGAGTGAATTTTAAATATCTTACTGGTTTCATTGACCTATTGATGAATCGGGCAGCATCCCATCTAGCAGAGAGAAGGAGGGTTCTAACCAAGAGTGGATGGTTCGTGTCAAGGTCACCTTCCTTCAGGGGATGACAGGGGTCTAGCCAGCAGTTTACCTCATTAGAGCTGACCAGGTCATTCCAAACTGACCGGTTTAAGATGCCACTCCTGGGAGAGGCTGAAACTGTAATTAAATTAGGTATTAAGTGTTGTTTCTCTGTCTTGTGGGTTTAGCACAAGGGACTCCATGTTGAGCCTGGGGTCTCTTTTTTAAGAAGGCCAATGGGTGTGTAAGAACATAGAGCTGTAGTAAATACAGAAACTAAGCAAGTGGAGAGGGTAAGGGCCCAGGAAAAATAAAAACTCTATAAGAAAGTAAACAAGGCTATCATCTGCTTGGATTAGTGGTGAACAATATTTACATGATTATCATGATATAAAGCAGAGCATATGGATTTAACAAAAATATTGGGAGAGGAAAACGACCCTCAGGGGAGTCTGTAAAAGGCAAATCTTCATCTACACAACAGGCAGTCCGCGCATAATGTGCAAACGGATTAATCAGGAGGCAGCAGGACGAGCAAGTTCCTTAGAAATGGGGAGGGCACCCCCAGCAGGAACGCCTGAAGCCCAGTCTCCTCTGAGCTGGGGGCGGGGGGTGGGGGGGGCTACTGTGTTTTGCTTTTTAATCTTAGCATTCTTTGACCTTTTTGACTATCTGTAAACACTTAGTTGATTTTTTAAAATGTTATGAAAACATAAAATAAAGAAATCTATACTGAGAAACACATCCCCTTGTTCCTTCTCGTTTCATAGTTTTTTAGCATCCAGAGAATCCACCCCCTTTACTCCCAGCCGCAGACACGGACACTCTCACCAGGACACACACACACACACCCTCATGATAGACACACAGAGCTCATGGTGACAGACAACCAGGAACATGTACATCATCACCAAACCCTCAGACACGCAGGCAAACACACTCCCGCCAGCGCGCATACATGAATACACACTCACCCACACATATGCAGAGCCCCCCCCCCCCCCAAGCCAGCTGCAGGACAGCACGGCCTCCTGGCCTGGGCCCCCTGACCTCCTGCAGCCCCACCCCCGGAACTGCCCCAGACAGAGGCGGGTCCCTCCTGGGACTTCACCCCATTGCTTCCTCTGCTGAGTTCCCTGCCGCGAGGCTGAGCAGCCATGAACCCGTTGGGGACACTCGGTCAGTAGATGGCACAGAGATGAGGTCGGGAAGGGCCAGAGCTGGCAGCTGGATGCGGCTAGGAAGCCCCCTTCATCCAGCCTGTGCTGGAGGCCCTAAGCAGTGGAAGAGTCCAGTGTCAGGACACGCTGTGCGTGCTGGAGCAGATCACCTTACCGCTCTGGGTCCACGAGGAAGTAGCAGCCTCTGTAACTCTTGAGATGCCAAGATTTCATGACCCACATGACCCAGCCTGGGCCCTGCTTCCGTCCCCTCTAGGTCCCTAGCTTCACACTGGCCTCCAGGGCCAACACCAGAGGACAGATGTTTCTAACAAGTCTACACGGCCCCGTGGAGGGCCCCCACCACCCCGTCCCTCCCCCTCCACGTTCCTGCGGCACTCACCACCACCCTGGTCCCGTTATCCGGCAGCGTGTCAATGGCCAGGGTGCCCCCACCCAGGTCCTGGCTCAGCTGGGTCCTGTCCGGCTCCGACGCCTGCCCGGGGCTCTCCCGGGCTCTCCGGTTCCAGCCCCGCAAGGCCCCCTCGGCAGCCCATCCAGAGGCTTGGCCTGCATCCGGACCTGGGGGAACGGGACAGAAAGGTGAGTCCTGGGAGTCCGGAATGAAGGCCTGGGAGGGGAACCAGCCCACTTCCTCTGCAGGGGCCCTGCCCCCTGCCCCCACTGCCTTTGGGGACACTGACTGCCAGGGCGGGAGACACCCCACATGCACGAGAGACAGGGACCCAGCCCCACTCCATGCACTTTGCACATGTGACCCTTTCAGTCCTCACCCTGACCCTCCCCAGGAGATGGATGCTCTCCACTTCACAGACAGGGGTCCGGCTCCCAGAGGTTTAAGAACAGCGGTTCTCAACCTTCCTAATGCCGCCACCCTTTAATACGGCTCCTCATGTTGTGGTGACCCCCAACCATAAAATTATTTCGTTGCTACTTCATAACTGTAATGTTGCTACTGTTATGAATCGTAATGTAAATATCTGATATGCAGGATGTATTTTCATTGTTACAAATTGAACATAATGAAAGCATAGTGATTCATCACAAAAACAATATGTAATTATATTTGTGTTTTCCGATAGTCTTAGGCGACCCCTGTGAAAGGGTCGTTCGACCGCCAAAGGGGTCGCAACCCACAGGTTGGCGACCCATAGGTGGAGAACCACTGTTCAAGAAGGTCACACAGCAGGGTAGGGATGGAGGTAAGTTTCAAACCCAGTTGGACCTGCCTCCTAAGCGGTGATTACTCTTAACCTCAGCTGCCCTGGAATCATCGGGGATCTTTAAAAATCCCTGATGCCTGTGTCCCACCCCAGAGACTACGGTGTAGTGTGGTCCGTGGTTCGGCCTGAGCACTGGGATTCTTAAATGACCCCCAGGGGAGCTATTGAGAAGCCCTGGCCCAGCCTAGGTGACTCAGGGGTTGAGCACTGACCTATGCACCAAGAGGTCCTTGTTCGATTCCTGGTCAGGGCACATGCCAAGCACAGGCTTGGAAAGTGGTAGCACCCAGGCCATTGAGCAGCGATTCCTAGACTCAATGTTCTCTCCAGTTCCCTCATTAGATTTATTCTAAATGGCACAGATACCATGCTTGTCCATTTCAGACAGATGGACACAGATGTGTCCTATATTGTCACTCCAATAGCCACCCCTACGAGGGATGTGTATACGGGACACAGACCACCAGACGAGTGGATCTGCTAGTCCCTGCGACCTTCGTCACTTTCAGGCCCACCCTGTATCAGGTGCCTGTCTCCACCCACTCCCCAGAGCTCCTGGACGTAGCTCTCTTGCCCAGAGCATCCACTGGTGTTGTAACTGCCTGCCTGTCTCCCTGCTGCCCCCAGGACGCTCCCACCTTCTGCAAGTGAGTATCCTCGGTGCCTAGCAAACACTAGGTGCTCAATCACTGCATAACTGAGCACACGAGACTGGAGGTAACCTGGGAGCCAGCAAGCACAGAGACTGAGACAAGGTTTGGCCAGGCCCAGGCCTGGGGCTGGGGCCAGGACTCTTTGCTGTGAGGCTCTGGTTTGTCATTAGACATTTTATCCAATTAAGTCATTCTTGGCTGCTGGCGCCTGCTGGACCCTTGCCGGCCCCCTTTTACTTCTCTGCCCCTAATCGCAACCAGATGCTCTGGAGAAGCTGGGGAGAGGGGCGGCCTCCAGACCCCTTCCCCGCGATGCCCACTGGCTGAGATGGCCCTGGGCCCGGTGCTGGGAAGACAGCCTGCCCTCGGTCCCATCCCAAGCCAGGGCTGCCTTGCCTTTCTCGGGCGAGGCCCACAGCTGCCTCTGGAAGCAGAATTGTTTGTGCGGGGCTGGTGTGCCCCGCTCCCCGAGTCTCCTGCAAGCAGCCCTCGGGCCTGGGCAGGAGCCAGGACAGGAAAGGGGCATGTGCCAAGCAAGTAGAGGAGCTGGGCGGCCTGGGCAGGGATGTGGGACCTGCAGGCATCGCAATCCTGCAGCTGAGACAGGCGGGTGCCTGGATGGCGGCGGCCCAAGGCCTGGGGAGAGGGCAGGGAGGGGATACCCAGCTAGAGGTCCTAGGGGAGGACACAGCTGTACCCACGAGCTGCTCGACCTTGGACCCGTCAGTTTATTTCTCTAAGCCTCAGTTTTCTCATCACGAAAATGGGGGCAACAATCAGGCCTCTGAGAGGCTTTATAAATAGAGGCTCAGGGTCAAAGGCAGAGTCCCTGAAGGAGGGCGGGGCAAAGGATAGACAGGAGTCAGCCCTACCCTGGCCTAGTCCTGAATCTTGCCCTCCCAAACCACACACTCCGTCTCCCTGCCACCCTCCCCCTCCCAGCTGGCTGGGACAGGACATCATCCCCTCAGCCCGTGGACGGATCCAACACAGCTGGTGGCTCACGTGTGCGTGTGCAAGGGCCCACGTGCCTGTGCATACACACGTGGGCGCGCACACACAGACTTGCCTGAAGGCCCTGGCCTCCCCCCTGTGTGTTCACGCCTGTGTTACACACCTATCCGAACCTCGGCTGCTCCCTGCTATGCCTCTGCCTTGCGTTGGGGAGTCTCTGCGTGTGAGTGAGGCCAAGAAGCTTCCAGAACACACTGTTCATTTATTCCTCCACTCATTCGCCCATGGCCCCACGCGGCATAGGGTCTAGTCTAGTGGGATGTCACAACCGTAATAGGGATCGTGGAAATGACAGCTAGCTGTTAGAGAACGGCTGACACTGTGCGGGCGCCGTTCCAAGCGCCTTACACACATGAACTCATTTCATCCCCACAGTCAGCCCAGGAGGCAGGGAATGTTTTACATCTATTTTACAAACTGGGAAACTGAGGCACAACGAGTCGGCAGCAGAATTTGCACTCAGGCCAGCAGGGCCTGTCCGCCGGGCTCTGTCCGACCACAGAAAGAGCAGCAGGATGTGAGCAGCCACGCCAGCTGCTGCCCACAGTGCAGGGCAGCCCCGGGGCAGGGCTGGCATGTGGGCTGGGCTCCTGGACGCCCTGCTCTGAGAACCACTGGGCCTTCACCTGGGAGCTGCCCTGGGAGACAGTGCCCCCTGTCTTGGAGGTAGCGCCCCACCCCCTCCCCATGGCACTGCCTTGCTCCGGGGCAGGACGCAATGGGCTGACTTCAGGAGGGCAGGTCTTGCCACCACAGTGCCTGGTCCAAGCCACCCTCATCCCACCCATCACCAAGCTCGCCACTCCAGGCCCAGAGCCACCACTCGGTCTGGCAGCTACTTCGGCCTCCAGCTTTAATGCTCTTCCGCCGGGTTCCCACCTGCCCGCCAGTGCATCTAGGGGACAAACTGGGTGCCAACTCTCCCAGGCGTCCCACTCGCCACAGGCCTCCAGCTGAAGATTCAGCAACTCTCCCCAGCATTCGAGGCCCTTGTGACTGGATCCCTGCTCCCTCTCCCGCCTCCTGACTCCCTAAAGCACCCAGCCCTGCTCTCTCCGGCCACAAGGCTTCACATGCAGTTTCTCAGCCAGGATCACTCTGCTCCACACGTAAACCCTTCTCCCCATGAGCTCTTGCTCATCCTTCAGGTCGCATGAGATGTCACTTCTTCCCAGCGCCTCCCCGGATATCTCTCCCCCTCTCCCAGAATGCTTCCTGTGGCTCCCCAGCCCCGATCGATCGATCGATCGCAACATATCGCTGCTGCCTGGGCATCTGTAGGCTCCAGGTGCCTGGCACAGAGCAAATGCTCAGTTAGCTCAGAGATCGGGACTGAGGGGAAGAAGGAAGTGAGGGAGGAAGGAAGGAGAGAGAAAGGAGGCCAGGAAGGACCTTTAAATGCCCTGAGTACTAAGACCCATGAGGCTGACAGGCCCTCCCCTGGGGCAAGGCCCCACTGGAAGCCTCACTGTCATGTCCCCGCAACAAAGGAGCACAGGTTTGGGATCAGACAAGCCTGAGAAAGAAGCCTGAATCCACGCCTTACTGCCTGCAACACTGGACAGACTGCAAACGCTCTCTCCGCTTCGGCTGCCTCCTCTGTAAAATGGGGATGGTAAGCCCTCCCCTTGGCAGGTCGCTTTGAGTCTTTAGCAAAAAAACGTACACAAAGCATCCCGCGGGGTCCAGCCTTCCCCGGGTCTCACATGAGGACCGACTTTCCGAGGGGCTTGGGACAGGCCCCAGGCCCTGAGCAGAACCCCGGCCTCCTCGCTACCTGCCCCACCCACACCCTCTCCCCTCCTGCTGCCGGCAGGTCCCACCGAGGCCCCTCATCTGGGGAGAGGGAAGGAGGCACAAAGGATTAGCAGGCAGGGACCACCAAGTCGCGTCAAAGTAAAGAGGAGAGGAAAGGAGAGAGTAGAGTTTGGCTCCCTGTGTGTTTCTCTCGAAGGAAGAGAGTCTGTGACCACCTCTGATCCACTCACTCATTCAGAACGTTTATGGAGACCCTGCTGTGTGCTGGGTGCCATGTTGGCTGCCGGGGTGACAACAGTGATCAGGCCGACACGGTCCCTGTGCCTGTGAAGATTCCAGTTGCTAAGACATACACAAGATTAATAATACAGCCAGGCCCTCTGTCGACTTAGGCCCAATCTTCCGGTAAGTAAATTACCGTGTAATGAATTCTCTGATATTCTATGGAGTTGCCAACTTCGGCTTGTGGTCTGAGAAACCTTCATGTTACGGTGGCCTGTCCACCTGGGACAGATCTCAGCTCCCTCCTGAGCCATCCCCCGACCCCGCCCAGAGGACACGGGAGCCTCGTCGCTGAATGGCAGAACCCCGCCAGGCCCAGCTCCCAGCTGCCCCTTCACTCGTCCAAGGACTCCACCACCCATCAGAGCTGGGCTGTCCCTCCTTAGGGGCCTCCCCCAGAATGTCCCACCCCCACACCTGCTCTCTGCCCAAGACACCCCCTGCCTCCATTCGGCCCCTCTGTCCATCCAGCCTGGCCTTGGGGAAGGAAAACTAAACTGAGAGTCAGCAGCTACCTGCTCTGGCTCCCAGAGCTTCCTTAGCTCTAACAATCTCCCCTCTGCAGGGAAAGTCCACTTCTCCCGCCGAGTCCGCCAAAGCCGAGAAGACGGCGAGATTCGCGCTCTGCCTGCCCGCTCTGCCTGGCCTCCCCAGGCCTCTCCTACCTCAACCCAACTCCGAAGAGGCGGCCTTCGGCCGGGCCTGGGTCTGGCCACAGTCCCCCCGCACATCCTTGTTATCCCCAACTCCCTTTCCCAGACCTTCCCAGGGCTCCTCCAGTTCTGCCGGCGTTCATTCAGAGCCCTCCCCCACTGACCCGGCACATCCTGAGTCCAGAAGATCCCACCAGGTCGGGGCTACACAGGAGCTCAAACACTGGCCTGTCCAACCTCCTCCTTTTTATAGTTTTTAAAATTATCAATCACCCAGACATATCATAACAAATCAGAAAAGAGGCGACAGTCATCAAAAAAGAAAAAAGATCTTTCATAATCCCACCACCAAGAGTCAAAGACTTGGCCCGCAGCCTCGCTGTATAGAGGCAAGAGGCCCAGAGAAGGAAAACAACTTGCTCAAGGTCACACAGCAAGGGAGACGCTGGGCAGAGAAGCCAAGCCTCCGGCCGTTCTCTGTGTGGGCTCCCTGAAAACGGGTGGCTCTGCCCCAGCAGCCTCTTGCCACATCAGCTTCCACTGCTCTCTGCCCACATCTCCGCCATCAGCCCCCTCCCGCCCCCAGGCCTTTATCAGCTGCAGACAGGGACCACGAAAGTCAAGAATGCTGTCACAGACACTGTGCCTGATGCTAGCATCCCCCTGAACTAGCGGCCCAACTGCAACATGCACACACACACACACACACACACACACACACACACGCTCTGTCCCATCGGAGGGACCCCATGCCAGTGAGGCATAGAGCTCTATCTTCCTGGTTCTCTCTGTCAAGAGGCTTGACTGCAAATTCCCCACCTCCCCAACCCCGAGGTGGCCTGGGTGCACGAGGAGGATGTAAAATTACCTGTTGAAAAAACGGTTCTTTTCTAACATGAGAGATTCGTGGAAGAGCTCAGAAAGGACTCCCAGGAGGGAGAGATGGTGGTGAAAGGCTGGGGTAGGGGAAGCGGAGTGTGCAGACAGGAGCCCCAGCCTGGAGCCAGGGCAGCTGAAAGCCACAGGGCAGGGCAGGGCAGGGGCGGCAGGAGGACGGGGAGGCTGGGGGATAGGGGAGCCGCAAGTCGCTTCTTCCTGGGCCCCCGGACTGCTCTCCAGGTACCAGACGGAGCGGGGAAGGCTCCAGCCCAGGCCGCCACTGCCCTTCCTCTGGGAGAGACCCCGGGTCCCCACCATCCCCCTGGCTGCTCCCCCCAGCCCCCAAGCCCAACTCAGACCCAACCTGGGCCAGCTTGGGGGAAGGCGGAGGGAAGGGAAAGAGGAGGCAAAGCTTGGCAGACCCCCATCTCATCAGAATTAGTCCCGCGCCCTGCGGCCAGGGGTCCTATGACCCTCGCACTGTCCCTGGGGGCCCTCAGCCCCCCGCCTGTGGAGCCCCTCCCGGGGGGGCCTCTGGGGTCCCTCCAGGAAGACAACTGTCGCTGCCTCCACCCTCACTCCCGCCCCATGTGTGTGGGAAAGTGGGGTCCCGGTCCACCTGCCACAGCCAGAGTTCCCGGCCCCCCGCGGACAACACCCCCCAGACCCCCCTCCACCCAACCCCGGCCGACCTCACCAGCCGGTCGGTACCGGCCCCCTCCCCGCCCCGGGCCCACCCGGCCAACTCCGGCCGGTCCTACCTGCCCCGGGCGGGGGGCTCAGCGCCCGGGCGGCCCCCCGGAGCACCAGCACCAGCAGCCAGAGCTGCCCCCGCATGGTGGCGCCGGGCCCGCCCCCGCCGCTGCCGCTGCCGCTGCCGCTGCCGCCGCGGGAGGAAGCCGGCTGGCCGCGCGGTCCCGGAGGCCGGCGGGCGGAGGGTGGGCGGCGGGAGCGGCGAGCGCGCGAGCGGGCGGGGAGCGAGCAGGCGGCGGCGGCCCGGGCGACCGCAGGGGGCGGGGCGGGGGCGCGGCGCGTCCGGAGCGCCCCAGGCTCCCCGGCCCGTCCCCCGAGCTCCCGCAGCCGCTCCCAGGACGGCCAGGGGGTCGGGGGGAGGGGCGTGCAGCACCCTAGGACTGAGAGAACCCCGAAGAGCATCAGCTGCCCCCCAACCCCGCACCTCCGTTCCTGCCTCCCTTCCCTCTTCCACGCCCCCGGGGGAAAGCAGCAGAGAGATCCGGGGACCAGACCCCAGAAGGGGCTGACAGCCCCTCCTCCGTCCTGGGCTCCGGCCATCCCCCCACCATGCCCCAGCTCCGCCAGCTTTCCCGACTTTCTGGGCTGCTCCTCGGAGTTTGTGGGTGCCCCCCCCCCCGGAATCTCCCCTTACGGCCAAGACCCACAGCTCCTCGCCCAGCCGATGCCTGGATTCCACCCCCTCCCAGGCTCCTGTCCGCTTTACCACGCAAACCCCCATTTCCAGCACCGTGTTGCCCCCCAGCCCAGCACACTTGGGGTGGAGGGGGCCTGACCCACCCTTGATTTCAAATAGATTGGACCTCTCCCCATTCCTAGAAGGTAACCCAGGCCACCCCTCGGGGGACCCGAGGCCTTCTCAGGGCCCGACCCAATCTTCAAAGCCAGCCCCAGAGCAAGAACACAGTTCACCCCCCTCCTCTGCCGTATAACAGGCTCTGGGGATAGGTTTTTTTCCCTTCCAGGACAGAATAAAAATACCCGCAATTTAGGAGATTTAATAGACGGCGAGAAATCAGGTCAGGACTCGGAGGTGCCTCTTTCCGCCCGTGACCTACTTCCTGTGACTGCAAGGAGTCCGGGCGCTGGAGAATGGGAGAGTGAGGCGTGGGGGGCACCCTGGCTTCCACGGGTCTGGGGTCCAGGAACTGGAAAATCGCAGAGAGGGGTGTGGACGGAGCGTCTTTGGGGGGATTCCCCAAGAGGAAGGATGTGCGTGGGAACCAGAGAAGGAACCATGGGAGATGGAATAAAAAAGGAACTCAAGACTCTCAGAAGCCCAGTTCCTCCTCCCTCAGGACCCAGGGTCCCAAAAACGAACGCCCGCAGTCCTAAGCCCTCTATTCCCTTGCGGCGCAACGAGGCGAGGCCTGTCTGCAACTCCTTGTCTAATGTAAACCCCGACTTTGCAGACTTAAATGGGATCACACAGGCCGCCGCTTCCAGCTTCGGCTTCTTGCTGCCCTCTAGTGGCCACGTGACGACCCGCAACGCAAAAACCGTGTTTGGCGGTTTCCTTCACTTTCCCGAACCTGCCCAGACGCTGTCCACCGACTCCGGCTTCGGCCCGCTGGTCCGCTTCCCCTCGCCCCTACCTTCTGGGAAGTCCCTGCCTTCGGAGAGGTCCCAGGACGGGACTGCAGCTCCGGCCTGCGTCTCTGTGCGTTCCCCAGCTCGGGGTGCCTCGCAGTCTGTTTTATAAGGTCTACAAGGGCTCAGGCTGAAACAGCAACCTGGAAATAATTAAAAACAAATAACATGTAAATGTTTAAAAATGTAAACCTGTAGAACTTGAACGTACATCAGAATCACCGGGGGAACTAGTTTTAAAACAGATTTCCGGGCACCGCCCCCAAGTTTCTAATTCTGGGATGAGACGGAGAACCTGCATTACTAACATTCCCCCAGGTGGTGGTGCTGGTCCCCGGGGTCGTAATTGAGAGCCACTGCTGTGGAATTCTTGTTTCTTGCACTCTCTCGTCGCTTTTCGTCTGCCCAAAAGAGACGTAACGAACGAAATTTCAATATAAAATTGTGGAAGACGAAGGGAAAAGCTTTAAAAAAAATTGTGGTTTGACTCACGGAATGTGGGGCCTGAAAAGAACACGGCAGGGGGCACCCGGATTTGAACCGGGGACCTCTTGATCTGCAGTCAAATGCTCTACCACTGAGCTATACCCCCGCTGCTGGCAACAGCGCCGCGGAAAGCTTCTTAACACTCTTCTACAAGGCGCCGCGAGGCTCTGCGAAGAGTAGTAATAGGGTCTAAGGCTTATAGCAGCGGGAAAAGACATAAATCTCGAGCGAATACACATCTGAATGCAGGGTTTGTTTTCTGAAGCACTGAGCTAAAGGCTTCTACTGACGGTGTAAGAAAAAAGCAGTTTGAGCCTGTGGAGTCCCTGGAGATCTTTCGAGAGCCCTCACTTCCGGGAGTTCCTTCGAGCCGCGGTCCCCTTCTTTTTGCCCTGCTATCGCCCCCTTTCTGCTGCTCAACGCCCCTCTCTCCTTCCTACACTGTGACGCGGATTTCTCGGGGCCTTCCTTCCCTAGCCTAAGCCTCGCCCATAGAAACTAAGCCTCGCTCCCTAAGAACTGCCCTCGGGTCACTGGCCAGGCCGGCCTAGCAGTGTGCCCACCTGCCCGCTACCGAGGAGAGTGGGCCTTAGGTACAGTCCACACGGGTCAACCCGAAGGTCCCAGTCCTCTCTCGTAATGCATTCCACACCGGAAGGTCCAAGGCCCCCTCTCGCAATGCATTCCACTCTTAGACACACACGCAAGTGAGCTCGTGGGTTGGGCAGGGCCTGGGCCTCGGTCCTCAGTGACTGCAAAAGAGGATGGCAGGGCCCGGGGCCGCATCTCCTGTCACCTCTAGGAAGACTTACAGAAATAGATTGCAGAACTAAGAAAACTGGAAAAACCTGGGTGTGCAGAGGGGGCACCCGGATTTGAACCGGGGACCTCTTGATCTGCAGTCAAATGCTCTACCACTGAGCTATACCCCCATCTTGTAGTGATGCTCTTGTTATGATCACTTTCTTTGGAATAAGGACATGGTATCAATTTGTGTTCTTATCTGAGGGGGGGGGGGGAGGGGCGGGGGGGCTAGGGACTGCTAGAACTCCTGAATTCTTCCTTCACCGTCACGCCTCGGGAAAACCATCCTGGTCTTGTGGGGTAATAGCGCTGCTCCCTGAATACAGGGCAGCCTGGCTTTCCATCCTGTCTCCAGCTCAACCTAAAGAGGACGCCTGAGCTTTTCCAACCCCTAAGAACCCTTCGTCAAGCAGACAGAAATAAGAAGTACTTTTCAATGCCATTTATTACACATTTATAAAAAATTTTAAAAACTCTAATACAGTGCAAAACAAAATCAATACAAAAAGACTGACAAGATTCACGGGTGGTCTAGAAACCTGGGTCATTTGGCAGGAGTGGGGTTTACCTTGGAAGGACACTGGGCGTTAAGGACGTAGTTGGTGTGGCCTAAAGCCGGAAAGAGGCAGCACCCCAGGGAATGGGAAGGCGGGGGGAGTGGGACTCCCTGCAGTGCCAAGGATTGTTCCCCTCCCACTCCCTCTCCCTTCCCAGCTGCTTTGGGTCTGCCTTCCTTCCCCTGAGCCCACCCCCTTTACCTTCTAGAATATCCTTTGCCCAAAGATGGCTGAGGGGCCAGAAAGCTGGGGTGGGGGTAGGGGGGGTGGGAGGGGTGAGGTTGGGGTGGGGTGGGGGTGGGGGTGAGGTTGGGAGTGGGGTCGGGGTGAGGGTGGGGGTGGGGTGGGGGTGAGGGTGGGGGTAGGGGTGGGGGTGGGGAGGGGTTCTAGGAAAAAAAGGCCTCTCTTACTCTGCCCCTCCATTCTTCCTACAGAACTGAGGGAAAGAGGCTCCACTCCCTAATCCACCCAACGTTTCCTTGTGTCTCCAAGAAGGACGCCTGTTCCATGGAGTGAGGGCAGCTTTACTTGCTGTCCTGTCTGCGGCAATTCAGAGTATACAGTCTAGCTAGCTCCTCTGTGGGGAGTTAGGTGGGCAGCGGCTTCTCCCTGCCCGTAGCTGCCCCTGCTCCCACCAGAGAATCGTAGGAAAGTAATAAATAGTCAATTGGGTTTTCCACCCAAGTAGTCCGTGCTAAACCCCGAAGTTCCCGGTTGGCCTCCGACTGGGACATCAGTTGGCAGTGGCCCGAGATTGCATCCACTGGAGCCCAGCAAGCAGCCTGCAGGACGGGAGGGACAGAGCAAGGATCAGTATATCCCATGAGGATGATGGCCCTCAAGCCCCCAGCCCCTGCCCAAAGCCAACTGAATGGGGCAACTGACGTTACAGCAACCTTTCAGTCAATAGTATAAACAGACTGAGTATGTACTATGCACCAGCTACTGTGCTAGGCACTGTGGTTACCGGTGAAAAAGCAGACACGCCCTCTGGGGCTGACATCCAACAGAGGAGGCGGATATTAAACAAATGGTCACGCAAATAATGCCTTCACTACATACTGTAATAAAGGTTAGGACGGAGCTGCACAGAGGCCTCTGGAAGTCTGGGAGTCAGCGGGACTTCTCTAAGGAAGGGGCCTGGAGACCTGCCTTAGCAATGTCTTTGGGCAGACTTCTAGCGCCCCCTTCCCACCCGCTCCATCGAAGGAGGCAGGGCCAGGGTGACTTCGAAGGCCTGGGAAGAGACCCCCATAAGCAAGTTCTCCCATTAGACTGTTAGCAACACCAGAACGAAAGGTGGGGGGGACAGGATGGTCTTGGTCATGACTTTATCACCTGGCACAGTGCATGGCACGTGGGGGTACTTAGGGAACGCTGGTTGAATTGAACTGACTGGGGGAGAGGGGGCGAGGGGGTCCTCTTGACCCAGGAGGTAGCAAGAGACCACCGGAAATGTGTGGCTCTTGGCTGACCTGACCAAAGCCTCCCCTTCTTTAATCAGCCATCTAGGTCCTTGGCCTCTGTGATTCCACCTGAGAAGGAAGAGGGAAGGGCTCTCTCCAGACCTGATACGGGCCCTTTCTGTATGACCGTGACCGTGGCCTAGCGCCTTCACATCCTTCAGGTGTTTGCTGAGCATCCCTTCTCAGCAGCCCCTCCCTAGATAGCTTATCTAAGGTTGCAACATCCCCCCCCCCCATGTACTTCCCATCTTCTTTCCTACCTGACTTCCCCTGAGCACTTAGCACTTTTTAACTTACTACATATAGTTTTATTTTTATTGTCTGTTTCCTCCCCCCACCCCCACAGGAACGTAAGCTCCAGGAGGGCAGGTATGTTTGTCTGTTTTGTTTACCGGTGTTTCTCCAGGGGCCTAGAACAGTGCCTGGCGCAAGCAGGTGCTTAATACACGTTGAATGAGCGGTATCATTTACTCTCTACAGAAACTCTGGGAGGAAGAGGATTTAATCACTCTCCTCTTCAGAGGTGAGGAAACCCAAGGTCAAAAAGAGTCGTGATTTCTGCCTCGAAGGCTTGTCCCAGGTCTTCCCATGGCTCTGTCCTCTTCATTCAGATCTCAGCTCAAAAGACATTTAGTAGAGGCTGCCCCTCGCCACCAGAGCTAAACCAGACCCATCCCCACCCCTCTGCCACTGTGGTCCAAGTTCACGTTGTTCATAGCACTTACGAGCACCTAAACCGTGTGTGGGGGGGTGGACTGTCGCCTCTCCCCCGACTAGGACAAGCTCCTGAGAGCAGGGGCTCTCTTGCTCACTGCTCACCCACAGCATCTCAGCTGTGGGAAGGCGCGCAACTGACTTGACTGTGAACCAGATTCTGATAGGAGAGGCAGGAGGATGTTCTGATGGTCAGTCATTCATTGGTACCAGTCCCAGGAGGTCCAGGTGGGATGGCCACTAACCCTTCCCCGGTGAGGGCACAGCAGCCCTGTATGTGCCATGGGTGGTCTTTGATGGCACTCAGGGTGAGGAATTGGGAGATCTCCACGGTGGTCATGGAGTCCTTCAGATCCTGCTTATTGGCAAAGATCAGGACAGAGGCATCTCGCAGAGCCTGTGGACAGAGGAGCCCAGCCCGTCAGCCTTCCAGGGCCCAGCCTCCCTCCCCAGTGCCCCTTGAGTGTCCCCTGGCTCCCCTGCTGCCCCAGCAAGTGGGGTGGGCGTGGGGGCCTGTCCCAACATAGCAACCCCAGCCAATGACACTGACAGCTCACAGATGCCTCCAAGCCAGCTCATAGAGTCCCTAGCAGTCCCATGACATAGGAATCGGATGATTCTCCCTAATTTGTAATTGGGTGAACAGAATTGGAGAGGCAAAGTAGCTTGCCTGGGGTCCCACCGTGAGTGGGACATGGTTTCAGAACCTGAACCAGAACTTTGGCTTCTGTGCTCAACTGTGCTGAGGGCATTATTGCCCTTCATCTGAGATAAACCAGCCCCGCCCAAGCTGCTGAGCTAGAGGCTGAGGCACAGGAATGAAGCTCAGAGAGACCAAGTGAGTAAGCTCGGGTCACACAGGGAGCACACTGGGCCCTCTCCCAGCCGCAGGGGGCTCACCTCGTGGGCCAGCATCTTATACAGCTCCTCCCGAGTGGTCAGCAGCCTGTCCCGGTCCGTGCTGTCAATCACAAGGACGATGAACTGGCCAGCAGAAGGGGACCATGAGTGGTGGGCTTTCCCTTTGGTGAAGGTGCCCTCTGCCCAGCCGTGCTCCCCGCTGGCCTCTGCACTACCCTGATGCGAGTCCCACAGAAAACAAACTGTCCAGTCTCAAGATCTCACTGCCCTAGTCCCATTTTTTTGTCTTACATTTATTTGTTTTTATTCTACTCTCATTTTAATTCCCCTTTCCAACCAGACACCCGGAATACACAGCATGACCTCAGATTTCCTGTCAGAGGCTATGCCCTGGGCATTCATGAGTCCATTTAGGCCTCACCACAGCCCTTTGGAACTGACACTGAAGTTGACCCTTGAACAATGCGAGGGATGGGGGCAATCAACTCCCACACAGTTGAAAATCACATATAACTTTGGACTCCCCCAAAATTCAGTCCTCAGTATCCGCAGGGGACTGGTTCCAGGGCCCCTGTGCGTACCAAAATCTATGGATGCTCAAGTCCCTTATAGAAAATGGCATAGAACAATGCATACAGTTGGCCCTCTGCGTATGTGGACTCCCAACCACAGTGCCATTCCCGGGGACGCAGAAGGCTGGCTGTCTATATATTGAAAAAATTCACAGGTAAGTGGACCCATGTTGTTCAAACCCAAAGTTTTTCAAAGTTCAAGGGTCAACTGTATTATTATCCCCATCTACAGATGAGGAGACTGAGGTGCAGCGAGGTGACATATCTTGCCCCCAGCCACACACCTGGTGAGTGGAGTGCTGGAATTTAAACTCGGCTTTCTCGTTCCAGGAGTGAAACCACTGAATTCTACTGCTTCCAGAGTGAGTAAGTAAAACCCCCGGAGACAAGGGTCTACCCCATCCAGTGCATCAAGCGGAAAAGTGCCAGCAAGCAGGCAAAGCTGCTAGGAAATATTCAAACATGCCCACAGGCGCTGTGCTGTGTAAGTATTTGACAGGCATGCCTTAGCTATTGTTGTATTATTCAATTTTCACAACAACTCAGGGAGGTCGTAAGTGGGGGAACGGAGGCTCAGAGAGGTTAAGTCGCTGACTCATGTCACACAGCCCCTCCAGCCCCGGGCCCACCTCACCTCCGTGTTGGAGAAGTATGTGTTCCAGGTGGTGCGCAGAGCCTCTTGGCCCCCTATGTCCCACATGAGAAAGTGGGTCTTTCGCAGAACAACCTCCTCCACGTTGCTGCCGATGGTGGGACATGTGTGGACCGCCTCATTCATCAGGCTGGGGGGTAGGAGAGGTACCAAGAGCTCAGCCCAGCTCACTCACAGCTCTCGCCTCCGACCCCTCTGCTCCTAAGTCCGGCTGAATCTAGTTCCGAAGAAATCAGCCCAGGTGGACCCGGCCTCTGCTGAGCGGGAGTGAGACCAAGTCCTGCCCTGGCTTGGACCCCAGGGAGGGGAGACTGAGGCGAACAGTCTCCCCAAACTTTGATATGCAGTTGAATCACCTGGGAGCCTTGTTAAAATGCAGATTCTGATCCAGGGGGTCTGGGCTGGGGCCCAGCGCTTTGCACTTCTAACAAGCTTCCAGATGATCCACCGCGGCTGGTCTGTGGGCCACACTTTGAGTAGCGAGGGAGTCATTAGACAAACGAGACAGACACTCAGGTGAGGGCCATCCGAAAGGTGCTCTGGCTACAGTGACAGAAAACACACACCCTTTCACCTGCGAGGAATTCCTCCGGAAGATCTGGGAGGTCACTCCCTGTGCTCTTGGAGTTAGAGGTGAGAGAGAAGCTTCCTTTTCACTGTATACTCCTGTGCTGTTAGGATTTTTCTTTTCTTCTCCTTTTTAAAAACCATTTCTATGTGTCACTTTTTCAGGGGAGAAAATCTGTCCTAAGTAAACACTCTGGAGGCTCCGGAACAGGAGAGATACCATCCGGGGAGTGAATTTCGGGGGAAACTCCGATGGGTAATAATTACTCAGCACATGTGCCGGGCTCTGCCGGACCAGGGGCCACAGAGCCGAGCGGACCCAAAGCTGGCCCTCCCTTAGGCTTGGCAGAAGGAAGGCAAAGACGCCAAGGTGGAGCGCAGGAGTTGAAAAGAGGGGACCCGCCGCTAGGGGGCAGAGAAGAGCAGGGAGGCGGGAGGAACCTGCCTGCCCACCGGCCTCAGCCTGTAGCCCAGCCTGGCAGGGGCCGGGGGCAGATGGCGGGGCGCAGTGGGGTTGCCCATACCCAGCAGCATTCGAATGCCAGGTCGAGGGGCCACTGATCTGAGTGAGGGGCCACTCTCCCAGGAAGGTCCCACTAGCGTTCTCCAAGTCACTCCTCCCGGGAACCCAGGGAAGAGCTCCGGTGATTGGCCCACGTGTTTGTCAGTCTGGTGGAAACGCACAAGCCCCGCCCCCCACCCCCGGGAGTCACTTACAACTGGTAGAGGATGGTGGACTTTCCGGCGTTGTCCAGGCCCACGATGATAACCTTGTGCTCTGCAGGCATCCGAGGGAAGGGCAGGGTCAGGGCCCAACGCGATGACCAAGGGACTGTGGGACCCACTAGACCGCCCACGAAGGAGACAAGTGTCCCCAGCAGGCTGGGGGGCTTCCCCGCGGTACCACTTCTGCTCCCCCGCCCCCATCTCCCACTCACCCACCCCCCAAAAAGAGGGGAGTGGGGACCAACAGGACAGGTTTCTTTCCCACGGCCCCGGACACCAGCCCCACCTCCCTCGCTCCACAATTCCAGAAAAGTGGTTGTCTGAAGGTCCCGGGGAGCTCAGGGCTTGTCAAGACCCGGAGGGGTCGGGGAAAGAACCGAGCGCGAAGTCATGATCGCAAGAAGCCGGCGGCGGCGGCTTTTACCCCGAGGATGTAGCTCGCCCAGCCTGTGCCCTGGGGCGCACCGAAACCCGCGACCCGCGAGGAGCCGGCAGGGAAGGGGCAGGGGAGACGGCGCGTCGGGCTCAGAGCGCCCGTGCACGACCCTCCCAGTCCTAGGTTACCCGCGCATCCCAATCCCGGGAGACCCGGGCGGGAGCCGGATCAAAGCGATCGCTTGGATGCCCTGGGCGTCCCTTACCCTGTTTCCCGAAGATGCCCATCAATTTGGCCATCAGTTGTCCCATGGCGCGTCCGGGGCCGGGCAGGTGCAGGACTCAGTGGCCCTCGGGGGCCGGGGTTGAGCCCGGGCGCATGGAGCCCCGCCCCCGGGGGAGGGCCAGCCGGGGTCTATAAGGTCACCGGAGCCTCCTGAGACTCCTGCAGGGCCTGGGAATTCCCTGAAACGCTGAGCCCTCAGGGGAGCTATGGCCGTCAGGTTGACAACAAACTACTGTCCAGAGCCCTGGAGGTGCGAGGAAAATGGGGTCCAGACTCCACATCCTCCCCCTCCCCCTGAGAAAATCCCAGAGTTCTCTGGGTGGACTGCTCCCCCACTGCCAATCCAGGAGACTCAGACAGTGTTCCATGACCATGTCCCAGCTCTTCCTTCCCCAAGGCCATGTCTGGAGCATGAGGCTAAAGCAAAACCCTTGGCCACCCACCTTCTCCACCTTCCAGCTGTGTGGGGTAGGCAGGGCTCACTGATCCCCTCTCTCTGAGCTGGGAGAGTATTTTGACCCTCAACAGATCTCTAGCTGTTCACTTGTGTGGGTCTTGTAGTTCCCTAGGGTCTCCCTCCTTTGGCAGGTCCCTTGGTGACAGGCAACTTCTATGATTTACTGACAACCCGACTGCTCAGGCACAGCCCCCCTGAACCCAGAGGGTAGACATCCGAAGACAGGGATGGAGCAAAAAAGACATCTCTCAGCCACAGACCCTACAGAGGGATTCCAGATACTAAGACACAGCAGAGGAGGAACAAGAAGGGAGAGCCGCTCCTTGATGTTTGTGAATTTCCTTCTTTGCTTAAACTGGGGAAAACCAGCAAACAAAAAGAGAAGTGGGGAAGGCAAACCAACCGCAGGCTGCAGGGCAGTTAGGAGACACCAGCCATCACCCAGGGGACTTGGCTCCTCCCACCCCTCTGCTCTAACGGGTCTCCCTGCCTCTGTCTCCCCTTACCAGGCATCTCCTCACAGCCTCAGTCCTGTTAACCTTCCGAGTCTGTTCCTCCACAGCTCATAAACCTTCAATGGTTCCCTATTGCCCACTGGATTCAGACCAGTCTCCTCACCTGAAATTCAGGAACCTCCATGAATAGCCCCCATCTGCCTTTGCAGCTTATCTCCCATATTTGCCTCCAACGGTCCTTGCTCACACATGCACAGCTCTTTCCAACTGTGCTTTTACCTCTGCGTTTCCTCCACCTGAATGCCTTTCCCTTTTTCAGAAAGGAGGGTTCCTGAGCCCCATCCCATTGGCTGCCTGCCATAAAAGCCACCTACTCGCCAAGCTCCGGCCTGGTTCTCCAGCCATAGGGGGCTCCTCTCCACACCGAGGCTGCGGACCCGACTGGACTGGCATGCCTGTTTCTTCCAATCATCTGTGATTCCTAGAGGGCGGGGTTCGTGTCTTGTTCACCTGTGTGCCCCCCACCTGGTCCAGTGCCCGGCCCACAGTAGGAATGTGTTGCTATTGGATTGAAGTACAGTGAGTTACGCTACAACCTGAGAAATTGTTTTGGAGTATTAAAGAAAAAAAAAAAGTGTGAATACAAGTTGAAGAGAATGGAGAAAGACAGGGAAGTTTGTGAAGAGAAGAGAGAAAAGAATTCACTTAATACAGAATTTTCATTCACCCCACCCCCCACCCCCCAGATTCCTAGCAGAGTGAGGAGGAAGAAGAATTGGCTAGCGGAGCCCATCTGGCTGATTTCATTTCGGCCCTAGGAAAAAAGGAGCTGGGGCTGCGGCTGGGTGCAGGAGGGTGAGGGCACAGGAGGTGCTGAGGGAAGCAGCAATGTGTTAAGCATTCTCACCATCTGTTTCCTGGGGGTGGGGGGGACCTGTGAGTGTACCCTGCCTCCTCCGCCACCACCCCCACTTGCAGAATTGAAAGTGACATTCGGCCAGCTGGAGCACGTTCAGTAAACAGACCAGAGCCCAGCCTTCCTTGAGGCCCAAAGCTGGATCTTAGGGGCATTTCGTTCACTTTTCATTCATTTGTCGAATATGAGTCAGGAGGTAGGAAGCATGCCAAGTAGACAAAACAGACCCAGTCTGGGTCTTAGGAAGCTTACTGTCTAGTGGGAAGACAAATACACATACCAAAAACAAACCCACAAAAACAAACAACCAACCAACCCTGGCAGGCAGTAGATGGGAAGGCCTGATTTAGAAGGGAGCCAAGGCACTCTTCTCTGAGGATGTGATCACGGGAGCTAAGTCAAGCTTTCGCTCTAGAGTGTTGGACTGGATCACCCCCTCACTTCTGGGCCGTCGTGGCCCTGCTCAGCTCATTTCATTTTTGATTGGTGGAAACCTTCAGCCACACCTAGGACTGAGGCTCGCTCTGGTGCAGACCATATTGCAAAGACAGAAGCAGCCAGTCAGGTGTGTGTATGTGGGGGGTGAGGGGAGCGGAGATCCCCAGCGCCTCAGTTCCTGAACCCCTGAGGTGGCTGTGGTAGCAGAACCAGCCTCTCTGGGCCTCATCACAGCCAGCTTCATGGTGGTTGATGTCCCGTGCTGACTGTGTCGGTTGAGGGCTTGTGGTTACCAAGAGACAAGTCTCTCTCTCTCTCTCTCTCCTCTCTCTCTCTCTCTCTCTCTCTCTCTCTCTCTCTCTCTCTCTCTCTCTCGCCTCCCAATATCTCCAAGCCACCTAGAGATACCCCTCCCTGTATGTTCTGGGCAAATGCAATTTCAGGCAGAAGGCACATGGGGAAGAGACACATATTCAGATACCTGTTTCCCCCTCCCTCCCCCGCTCTGCTCCCAGAACCTGGGCCATCCTGGGGCAGGGGAATTAGCCCTAGACTTGGGGGTCATGGACACCACAGAACTTGAAATCCAGACATCTGAGTCCAAGTTCTTGCTCCAGTGCCGTGTAACTATGGACAAGCTGCTGGGTCTCTCTGAGCTTTATCTGTAAATGTTAGTTAATAATCCCCGCCCTCGGTACAAAAATATCAGGCTCCACGCAGGATGGAGCTCTCTGCCGAGCACTCGGCTGTCTTCTGCCCTTCTCCTCGGGGCTGTCCACCTACAGCACCATAAACCCACCTTGTCCAAAGCTAGGTATCGTTCCTGCCTCTAACTTGCTTTCTCTCTATAACCCACAGTCACCCAGACACCGCCCTCTCTCTCAGTGACCACCTCCAATTGCTCCTCAACAGCTCTCCATTCTGTTCGACGCCTCTGACAGCCACAGCCCCCTTTCCCGCTCCCCTGCTGAGGTCTAGTGCAGGCCCTTCTCATTCCTCACGTGGAGTACTGCAGGTTTCCAGGCTCGACCTTTCCGTCTGCTCCGAACTGCAACCAAGGCAATCTTGCTATTGCTGCGTGCGGCCCTTCGATGTCTGCACACCAGCTTCAGGACAAAGCCCAAACTCCTTAACGCGACTCAAGATCCATGGGGACCTGCTCCTGCTGACCCTTCTCTGACCACATCGTGAGAGCAAGGTGAAGGCCAAGAATATGTCCTGTATGTCACCTGTCTCCTCTGCTTCTAGCCTCTGCTCAAACCTTACTTCCTTCAGGAAGTTACTCCTGGTCTCCTCAGATTTAGGGGACTCAAGCCCTGACCCGTCCCAGGTTCCCCCAGAACCCAGTGCTCCCCACATCAGACAGCTCACTGTTCTGTCCCAAATTGCCTGTGGCTCCCATTTAGACTTGTGCCTGGTAGGTGCTCAGCAAACGTTTGTTCAGTGGTTAAACATGGAAATGGATTGCACTGAAAGGCAGTGCAAAGAGCCCTACACTGGGGGGCAGAGACCAGACTCCAATCCCAGCAGCACTTGAGGGTCGTGGGTGGGCTCGCCCAGTTCCTCTCTCCTTGGGTCTGCTGACCCCTCTTCTAGCGAGGTCTGGATGTCTGTTACCCTCTCTACACACACACACACACAACTGCACACAGAATAGAGGAACACTCAGGTTAAAGACCCAGGAGCTCATCCTTCAGGTCCAGCACCACCCCAGAATCAAGAACCAGGTGCTCTGAGAGACAACAGCAGTAACAACCTTCAGAAGCCCGCATCCTGCCAGCTGCTGAGGGCAGGAACTGGCAGCCACCTGCTGACTATCTTTCTCTGAAGCTGGGACTGGGGAAATCCCCATTCTCTCTGCCCCTCCCCCAAGGCTGGTTAGCAGGGGCTGGGTAGGGGGTAGTTGTGGGGGCTCTGGGGGAGAAAGCCAGACTCAGTCCCTCCCTCTCCTGAGGCGTAGGGGAGCAGTTGAGGCCAGAGGAGCAGAACAAGCACACACTTTTAACATTGTGCCAGTGGGTCTGGATCTCACCCACTGTAGGACACCCAGGACACCCCATTTCTCCACCTCAGCTTCCCATTCTCCCTGGCTCTGCTTAAGGGGAGAGGGGTTCGCTGCGGAGTTTGCGCTGAGTGGGGACCGAGCCTGGCTACGCCGCTCAGGCAGGTCTGAATGTAATGCATCAGAGAGTCACAAATCACCCTCATCTCCTGTGGTGTAAACAACTCCAGGCACAGCTTCCTCCTGCACCCACCCTCCCGCCCCCCTGTGGGAACAAAGCAGGCTTGGGAGGCTGCCGCAAAGGACAGGATGGTGGTTTTATATGTGGCAAAATACTCCCAGGGGAGTAAAGACAGAGGGACAGATGGAGGCACATGATACCAGACCGGGGGGTGGGGTGGGGGGGTGGGGAGGAAAGGTTGGGCAGTGGTCTCTTCTAACCAGTAAGTGGAAGCTGCACCCCACCCCCAGGTGGGGGGTGGGACAACATTGGCACAGGAGGTGGCGAGACAGGCATGAGGTGCCCATCCCTGAGGTGGGCAGCCGGGCAGGGCCCAGTCCTCGTTGGCACAATCGGCTCTCTCTGGCCCAGCTGGGATGCTGGGGAGGGCAGGGCTGCTGGGCTAAGGGGATGCTAGGCCGAGGGACAGCCAGGTCAGAGGGGGATAGGAAGGCCTCTCCTGGGGGGAGTGGAGTGGACGTGGGTAAAGAACAAAAGGCAAATACAGAGCAGCAGCAGCCAAGCCCCCCAGGGGAGAGCCGTGGTCCCGAGGCAACCCCTGGGGCAGGGGTCATTTCTTGGGCACCAACCCCAAGGGCCTCTCCCCTGGGGTTTTGGGGTGGGAATGAAGGAGCAGTTTTTGGTTTCAAAATGAGGCGGACCAGTGTTCCATGGGCTCCACACCCAGGTGACACAGGGACAGGGAGGGCCCCTCTTCTGATGGCAGCAGGCAAGGGATATTGTAGGCAAAGCTCATTCCTGGGGCAGGTAAAGGCTGAGACATGGGGGGGGGGGGGGGAGCGTCTCCGATTGCCCACTCCTCAGGGTTAGGTCCTGGGTGGGCAGATGGCACTACATCTGATGCCCATCAGTTTCTACCCAGACATCTCCCCAAGGGGCTTCCAGCTGCCAGAAAGCTGGGGGAGGGGGAGGGAGGGTTGGGCATGAGGAGGGACCCTGGGCCTGGAGTTTGGGAAGAGAACCCTCGTGGAAAAGCCTGTGGCCTCTCTCTCCAGCAAAAACCCCCTACCCTTCCCAACTACTCCAGGTAGGGAAAGGGCCACCCCATGGAGAGTCCCAAGTAGAAGGAGCTAAGGAAGTGCACCTTTTCTCTGGGGGAGGGAGGGGAGAGAGACCCCCTGAGGAGGGGAAAGGAGACACCGCCGACAGGTGGGCATCCCCCATCCACCCGCCGCAGGGAGATAAAGACCTACAGCTGGAGCGGAAGGGACTCCCAGGAGCTGGGACGCTACCACCTAAAAAAAAACCGACACTGAGCAAAGGCATCTGAAAGAGAAGCGCCCCCTGGAGGTAAGACACACCCCGGTGGTGAGCGAGCTGCACCTCCCTCCCCTGGGCTCAGAGTCCTTCCTCCCAGTGCGGCCCGGCCTCTCAGCGGATGTACACACCGCGCCCCCAGCCCTCCAGCTCGTTCTTGTTGCGCCCCAGCACGGGTCCCCCGCCCTCCGCGCAGTAGCGGGCCTTATTGCGGCCACGATTCCGGTTGTCAGTCAGCTCCTCTTCATAGTCGTTTTCTTCATCCTCCCAGGATCCCTGCCGAGCGGGTGGGGTACTGCCCCCTGCGGGGTCTCCAAGCCCTGGCCCCTCGGAGGGATCGGTCTCCATGTCCACGCACGAGTCGCCCAGCTCGGTGTAGGTAGAATTTCGGTTGCCAGAGGCGTCGGCATCAAACGTGTCTTGGCGGGACAGTGCCCGCACGGTGCCCACCCGGCCTGGTGGGTGGTGGCTGCTGGGGTAAAGGCCTGGGGGCTGGCCCAGCTCCCCCGGGTACTCGTGCACGCTGGCATGCTCCCCGGTGGCCCGGTCCAGCGACTGGTCCCCAGAAGCAAGGTAGGGTCCCTGGTTAGCAGACAGACGGCACACACCATGCAGATCGGGCAGGGGTGAGAGAAACACAACAAGGCAATGCAGGTTAGTGTTGGCACCGAGGCACCAGCCTGGCTGAGGGAGGAGGGGGCTGGCTCTAGGGGATGGAGCCCGGCCAAGGACTCTAGAGCCCGGACCTCAGGGCATGTGCTCCTTTGTTAGGAGGGAAGGGGGCGCCCCACCTTCCCCCGCCTGAGGCCTGAACTCTCCCGGCTACCATGACACAGACCCCATGAACGATTAGTCATCGCTTCCTCAACACACGTCACTAATGCTGTTTTGGGGTAAATCATCATTAACAGCTCATTAGTATTGCCACTCGTTAGTGGTCGATTGGGTTAGTCATTGCTCCAGTTTTCCAAATACACTCAGGGGATTTCAGCTCAAGCTCACTAACCCCAGCTCCTTCCGCCCAAACCAGACCCTCATCAGAGGGTTCTAGAACCCCACACTCCCTGACCCAGGTTGAATGATGGAATTCCTCCTCTGCCCCCAGCAGAGACTTTCAAAGCAGCAAGATAGGAAAAGCTGATGGGTCTCCATCCCCACAGGAGATGATGAGGTGGCCCCATGTCCTCAGCACCAAATGCCACATGGCCTGATGGCCACTTCCATCACAGAGGCCACTGGGAGGGTGCAAAGAGGCCTGGGTCCTAGTCCTGCCCCTTTAAGTTGGGTAATGCTAAGGAACTGACTCCCCTTCCTGTGGCCCAGTTTCTCTGTGGTGGTGCGATGGAGATGAGAGCAGCAGTTTCCAAACTGTTCCCCTGAGATCTGGGGTGGAGTGGGAGGGCACAGCAGTGCTTCAGGGGTCCCCGTGGAGGTGAAGTGGAGGCCAAGCCACTAGCTCCCTCTGAGCAGAGCAAGGATGGCTTCTACTGAGCTTCCACATAAGACTCAGCGAATGAATTTGAAAAGCAATGGTCTAGAATGGTTTTTTTTTCTGGCTCTAATGGAGAATCAAATACGTCATGATGTGATCTCGGGGATGGGCCATGGCTCCCACGGGAGGAGGGAGAGGCAGGGCGGGGCACCCACACGAGGGCCTTTCCTGGAATCTGTTTAACTGGGAGCAGAATGGAAGGTTCAGCATCAATCACAGAAGATGCTACATTCCGGGTCCCTTCTGAGGGGCTTCCTGTGGTTAGGGCTCTAGGGAAGGGGACAGTGGCTTTGGGTTTAAAGGCCCCTGCGTTGTGGGATTCCCTGCTCTGTTGGGTCTACAATACTGTGACCACTCTTGAGTCTAAAATGGGCATGGGGTCCAGCGAATGACTCTGCGAGTCTTCTCCGTGTTTTCTTCCACGTCACTTGACTTACAGGGCCCCCAATCAGGCCTCACACCCAAAAGCCCCCAAGGCAGAGGATGTAGTCCTATGGCACCAGGCCCAAGGAGTACCATCAGCCCGCCCCAATCCCATTAACAAACCACAAACACCAGAAGCTGCTGCTCACCACATTTTTTTTACAAAATAGAGCTCTTTCCTTCCTTCCCCATGATCCCTGTTCTCCAATTCCCGGCCATGGGCAGGAGGGGAAATGGGGGAGGAGGGGGTACCTACATGGCGTGCTCCTGCAGCTGGGGCACTGCCCCGGCCTGCTGTGAGGCCTCCAGCCCACCCCAGAAGCTGAGATTTCTCCTGAGTGAGGTGAGCACCTGTACCTGGAGGTTGGAGACAGGGGCAGGGCTGGCAGCCAGAGCTGCAGTAGCCATGGTGCGGTTCAGCAGTGGGTTAGGCGGAGTGCTGCTGGGCGGGTGTGTGGCCTTCCAATAGGCTTCCAAGTATTCCGCCAAGTGCTCACAGGCATCCTCCAATTGGTTCTCATCCAGGATGATGTCAAACATTTCCTGTGGAGGCGGGGTTAGGGGGAGGGCTAGGATGAGCCAGGCAGGACCTAGGGGTTGTGGGTATGGCCTGGGCAAAGTGGGCGGAGAGTCAAGGGGTTGAAGGGCAAAGTTAAAAAGAGGCTTCTGGATGTCCAGGAAGAGAAGGGGGGCTCTCAGATGGGCACTGGCAGAACCACAAAGGCTCTTGGCACCCACATAGTCCAACTCCCTCATTCTAGATTTAAGGCCCAGACTCCCCCAAACAGAAGTGGTACTTCTGGGGCTTGAAGCCAGTCTGTGACTGCCTGCCCAGCACTCCTTCCCAGAAGTCCATCAGCACCGCTGGACCCAGCCTGGTGTTCCTGGCCACTCTGTCTCCCATGCAGGCCAGAGGAAACCAGAATCCAAATGCCGCCCCCCCACCCCGCCCCGGGGTCTGAGCACTCACAGGCGGACACTGCGCCAGCTTCTCCGAGGCCGCTATTTGCACATTGAGGTGTTTGGACTGCGACTTCCCTCGAGACTTGATGAGCCTCTGAAGTACCTGGTTTGGGGGGAGAAGAGGGAATCCCAGAAATGCACCAAGTCAGAGAGGCAGGTCCTGGTTAAAGGTGGCGTGGAGCGCCAGTGTCAGGGCGAGGGGATGTTGGATGACTCAGCCCTGGCCACCTCTTTAGACATCACCTCACCAGCTCTGTATCCATCCTGCACACTGCCCAGGCTCTCTACCGGATCTCATGCCAACATGTCCTAGAAGTTCTCGTCACAGTGGCTGTCTGAAGGGCATACAGCCCTGCTCCTCTAACCTTCTTCACAGGCTTCATTAGGCCAACGTCCCCTCCATGTTAACAACAGCCATGCTTTATGGGGCACCTGCTGCGTAATGGCACTATTTGGTACTTTTTACACGGTCAATTCATTGAGTCCCGACAATAATCCCATTAGGTGGCCACTACTATGATTTTCACTCAATCATAATAACAATAGCTGAACCAAACCCATAACCTTAGCTAAATGATCAAAGCTAACATCACCAATGATGCGGCAAACCAATGTCATATGCCTCTTGATGCAATGCAATCAGGACACATGGCTTTGGTGAAAGCTGAAGATGGACTGCATTCTAGATAACACTTCTTTTTTTTTTTTTTTTTTTTTAATATATTTTATTGATTTTTTACAGAGAGGAAGGGAGAGAGACAGAGAGTCAGAAACATCGATGAGAGAGAATCATCGATCAGCTGCCTCCTGCACATCTCCCACTGGGGATATGCCCACAACCCAGGCACATGCCCCTGACCGGAATCGAACCTGGGACCTCTCAGTCCGCAGGCCGACGCTCTATCCACTGAGCCAAACCGGTCTCGGCTAGATAACACTTCTTGAATCTGACAGTTATACTGTGATTAATGTCCTTGTTCTTAAGAAATACATGGTGGGATAAAGGCATACAATACCTTAAACCTACTCTCAAATCATTATGTGTACATAATATATACATACATATATGCATAAGATAAAATAAATGTGGCAAAAAGTTGAAAGTTAGTCAATCTGAAGAAAACTGAATTGCACACTTTAAATGGCTGAATTGAATGGTACGTAAATTATATCCCAATAAAGCTGTTAAAAAATTAGCAAATCCAAGTGAAGGGCATTCAAAGGATGGGAGTTCTTTGGGCTATTCTTGCAAATCTTCTGTAAATAAAAATCTTTTAAACAATAAAGTAGATATAGTGCTTAGTAGGTACCAGCCACTTTGCGTGGTTAATCTATTTACTTGGTCTTCACAATCACTACCTGAGGATCCCTATTTTACAGATGAGGACACTGAGGCAGAGAGATGTCAGGTGACTTGCCAAAGGAGCACAGAGCGGGCAAGTGGCAGCCCTGGGACATAAACCCAGGCAGTCTGGACTCTCAAAGAGTCCCCACCTTAAATTTCAGTCAGTTGCTCGTCCATGGGGGATGGGCATACTGGTACTTTCTAGATCACAAAGTGTTGTTGCGATCTTATTGGATCCTTTCAACCACTCCAGGAAGTACTTAGATTCATCATCACCTTTATGCTCATTAGAAACTTAGGACTCAGAAAGTTTAAGGAACGGGTGCTCAGCTCCCAGGGTGCTCTCATGAGGTAATAACAGTTACCACCCCTGGTTGCCATCATGAACTATGGGCTCTTTATTTATTTATTATTATTTTAAAATATATTTTATTGATTTTTTACGGAGAGGAAGGGAGAGGGATAGAGAGTTAGAAACATGGATGAGAGAGAAACATCGATCATACCCCCTACTGGGGATGTGCTCGCAACCAAGGTACATGCCCTTGACCGGAATCGAACCTGGGACCTTTCAGTCCGCAGGCCGACGCTCTATCCACTGAGCCAAACTGGTTAGGGCAAACTCTGGGCTCTTTACGTCATTACCTCAAACCCTCTCAACAATTAACACCAGGGAGGGAGTATAATCCCCATTCTACAGGGGAAGAAAAGGAGGTCAGAGGCCTCAATTTCAATAAAAAATAACAACCAAAAAACCCCCCCAACAAAATCTAATTAATAAGCCAACCACCGCTCGGATTTGAACGCCATGCTGTCTTCTAACTTCAAATCCTTCACCTACACTTGTCCTCCATGCGTCACAAACCCCCACTTCTTCACCTACACTCACCCTGCACGCTCCTCCCCCATTAACATCTAGGAGGGGAGACTAACGGGGCTGCAATATGACAAAGAAGTAAATCCTACAGATTTCATCTCCATCAAGGTCCACGTGAGGACAGTGCAGCACAAAGGGCCGAAACCAAAAGGCAGGAAGGACCTCCCAGCTGTCAAGTAGCTGGGTGACACTGGGACAACACGCACAGAATTCCAGTTTTCTGGATCAAGAGTGGGAGGTTAACCAGAGCAGAGATAGGGGACTGGCCTGCATGACCCTAATAATAACATTTATATTAAGATCTATAGAGTATTAATAGCTAATACATGATGAGGTCCATTATACCGGAACCTTTGCTAAGTCCTAAGTATTCACATTAGGTTGAATCTTCACAATATCCATGTGACGGAGTTTTACAGAGCAGGAAAGTACGGCTGGGGTGATTCAGCCACATCATTAGTAAGCAGCAGCTGGGATTGACACAGGCAGCTGGACTCCCGAGAGCTCCTGTCCCCTCTCGGGTCCGGCCTCTGCACCCACCTTGGGAGAGGTGATCTTGATGTAAACAATGATGGGGGCCAGTGAGGTCTTGGAGAGTTGGGCCGGATGGTTGATGGTGTCGGCGTCCAGAGCAACCAACTGAAGGGTCCGGGCCAGCTCGAAGATTCGCTCGATCTCGCTCTGAACCTCAGCTGGCGGTACATGGAGTCATGGAAAAGGGGGAATGTAAGGGAGCCCCCCAGGAGGCAGCGGGTGGATAGAACACTTTTGGAGATGCCCCCCCCCCGCTCTCCTCCCACCTCTGGCCCCAGAAAGCAGGGGATGGGGGGGTTTGAGGGGTGGGCTCACCCAGGCTGGAGCGTGTGTTGGAGCGCTCGATGATGATGTGTTTGCTGGGGTTGTTGAGGACTGAGCGCTTAGCCAGGGAAATGTCCGCTGTCACCCGAGTGATGGAGATCCTGGGGCGTGGGGCACAGGGAGTCAGAGCTCAGGCGGGCTAGGATGCCCTGCCCGCTCCGCAGGCTCCAGGCCTGCCTCCTACCCCTCAGTCCGAGAGTCCCAAATTATCACTCAAGCCATCCTGCCCATCCCCAGCAGCAGTGGGGACCTAGCTCCCGGGGTCTTACCTGCCATCAAACCGATGCTTCAAGAAGTCAAACAAAGCCTTCTGCATCATGTCTGTAACCTGAGGGTGGGATGTGGGGTGGGGGAGAAGTCAGGTGTTTAAAAAAGCCACTCAGCAAGAGTGGGCTGCTGGGTAGATGCACCCTCCCACGCCATTTTCTTCTTAAATTCCTGAAATGAATGGGACCCTGGGGGAAGGAGGCGTCTTCTGAGTCTGAGGAGCCTCCAATGAGCTCTCAGATTCCAATGGTTCTTCTAGGTGGTTCCTCTGCGAGGACGCTTCTGGGGCTTTGGGGGGAGGAACTCGACCCTCTGAGTGGGTCTCCCTGTGGGTGGGGCCCCTCTGGGAAATTTCTCTGAAGGTCGGTAGCCCTCTGGGGAAGATACCCGGGAACGCGGGCCCTTCGAAAGCTCTGGAGTCTCTCTGAAGGTCTGGGCCCCTCTGGGTCCACTCCCCGCTACGGGCTCCTACCTCATAGCCCTTGAGCGACGGTCCCACCAGGATGATGGGCCTCATGGAAGGCACCACGTCATAGGGGGGCACATGCTCTGTCTGGAGGGGAGGCAGGGAGGGGAAACCCCAGAGTGGAGATGGCATTAGCCCCTCTCCCCCAGCCTCCCCCATGCACCCGCTCCTCCCGCTGGTCCCAGAGCCCAGATGTGGGGATCAGGATGGGGGTGGGGAGGGACGGCAGGGAGAACCAGGAAGGGTGGGGAAATGGGGCAGATATGGGAATGGGTGTTAGAAGATCCCCCTAGCTCATCCCAAAGGGTGGGGAGGGGGGACACAGAAAGCTGTGATACTCACCGATTTCTGCTTCTGTTTGGCTGGGTCCAGAGATTGCCAAGAGGGGGAGGAGGGAGAGAAAGGAGGGCACCCAGGCAGGGGCAGAGGGCAAGGAAGGAGCCAGGACAAGAGAGGGAAGGGAGAGCGGGCAGACGAGGAGAGATAACAGGGCATGCGTGTTAGTGACAGACAGAGCCAGAGAGAGGGACGGGACCCCATGCCAGGGGGAGCCAGAGGTGGCCCTGGATCAGGGCTGGGAGCCAGACTGTCAGGGGACTTGGGAATATTCAGACATACCAAGACCCTCTTTCTGGGTCTTGGAGAAGAGCTGGGAAGGCTGACAGCCCCTCATTTGGTGCCCACCTCTTGCCCCAGTACAGCCAACTTGCCCATTTTAAGAATTCTCTTAACTGTCCTGCTCTGCAGCCAGTAGACCCCCACATGCCCACCTAAAACCCATGGAGTCTGAAAAGGGCAAAGAAGGGTCCCCGTTCCACGCCCCCTTCACATTTGAGGGGTGTGGGGGGCAAACATGGGAGATCACAATGGCAGTGAGGGGAAAGGTCAGGTTTCATTACTACCAGGTTCTACTCCTGGTTGGGGAGGGGGGCAGCTTTCCAAGGGAAGGGGTGCTTGGATTTCAGGAACTACCCTTTCCTGTGGAGTGGGCCAGGGAGGGTTTTGTGTGGAGATAGACACGCCTGTCCTCTGTGCCATCCACCCCTCCTGCCTCCTCAGCAGGAAGCCCCGGTCCCCCCCCTCCCACAGAATCAGGCTGCTACCACATCTGAATCCACTCCGGCCCCCTCCCCCCAGCCCCAAGGTCTGGGCCCTGACCTCCTCCCCTCTTACAAGAACCCAGCAAGGATTACCTTCTTGAAGAAGGAGATGCGTTTGCCATGAGGTGACGGGGTGGTGACACTGCTAACACTAGTCTTGGCAGAGCCACCGGGCTCTCCAAGCTCAGCCTCCTCGTCCTCTAACTCTAGGGGGTCTAGTTCAAATGCTAAGTTAGTCATTTCATTACCTGGACCGGAGAGTCAGGAGAGAGGGAGGAGGGAGGCGAGGTGGGGGGGAGTGAGATGGACAGGGAGACACAAATACAGAACGCGGGGATGGGATGGGGGAAAAAGAAAGAAGAAGAGGTGAATGGAACAGGGCTGGGAGAAATGAACAGGGGGAGGGGGAGGGGGGTCAGGCAGAGAAATGGAGCTACCAAAGAAATGGGAGAGGAGAGACATGAGAGGATGGGTGCTGACTGGCCCAGCTCGAGGGGTGCCCTACTCTTCATGGAGAGGGGACCCCTGGATGTGTGTGGAGGACTCAGGAATGGGGTACCCTCTACTGCAGGGGAAGGAAGGGAAGGGCAGTGGGGAGACCACCCCACCCAGAAGCTCCCCCATGACTCCCTGGGGAGGCAGCAGCTCTTACCACTGGCAGGGGGTGTGGGGCGGCGGGTGCCAGTCACCACGTCTCCCAGGCTGGAGCTGGAGTTGTCACCTGATTTGCTGTGTGGGTAGAGAGGCAAATGGAACTGTGAGCTAAGGGGTGGGTGTGAGGGTGGGGGAATCTCGTTCTCTCACATGCTGCCCTGCCCCCAAGATTCTCCAACCCCACGGGCGATACCACAGGCAGCTCTGTGCCCTCAGGGCCACCCTGAAGCCAGGTCCTGGCTGAATGGCCTCTCCTGGGGTTAGCAGTGCCCCCCTCCCCCCTGCACTCAGACACCTGGAGCTGAGGCGGTTCTGGCGCAGCTTCTGTTCCTGCAGCAGACGCAGGCTGTCCAGCTTGACGGGGCTAGGGATGAAGCCAACCTCACAGCCCTCCTTTACCAGTCGCCCGATCCACCAGTCATTATTGTATTTCTGCAAACAACGGCAGGTGGGGTGGGAGAGACCAAGAGGGAGATTGGAGGTGCAAGCCAGCAGCCACCCTGCAGGGGAAACTACCCTCGGAGTTGCCTACCCTGACCAGGGGGTGGCCCCCTCAAAGAGCCCCACCCCTGGCTCCAGCCTCTGAGGACAGCCCCAATTTTCAGGACCACTCCAGGACCAGCATCCTCCTGGGCCATGGATCACCCTGCCCCCAGCACATCCCTGTTCTGAGAGTCCTTCTTCCCCACGTGTCCGTCCTGCCCTGGAAAGGCGGGGAGAAAAGCACACGCTGGCACCTACGTGTGCCTGGCAAGCTGCCACTCCACTTACAGGCCTCATCACAATCCTACCCAACGGCCTTGTGACCTGGGCATGACCACCCCGTTTCACCAATGAGGCTCAGAGAGGTGGAAAGATTTGTCTAAGGCGGCACAGCAGCCTCAGCCCAGCTCTGCTTGGCTCAGAAGTCTTTCTCCAGATGCCCCTCCCCTGGTACCCACTACCCTCCAGATGCCAAGTGCTCTCTCCACCTCTTTGATGTGCAGGAAGTCCTTGGGCTCGAAGGTGATGGCCACTCCCTGCACAGGCACCTCATCCCCTGGAGATGGGTTGTAGCCGACATTTGTCCGAACAGCAAATGCCACCGGCTTGGTCTAGAGGAGGCGCACAGGGAGGGGGACAACCAGAGGGTTAGACCAAAATATAAAAATGTACAACTTCTTGACTGGGGTGGTGATTATGTGGAGGTTTGTTTCATCAATTCTTCATTAAAAGCTATACCCAATGGTTTGGTAGGGTTTTTGCATATGTGTTAAATTTCACAATGAAAAAGCAAAAAGTAGAACTCAGCCCTCTCAGGGTGGAGGGGGACACTGGGGAGTGATAAGTATTAGGGGTGGGGGAAGCCCAGAACGACACCCAAAAGGAATAATAATAATCTATAATAATAAAAGCGTAATATGCTGATTAGACCGGACAGCTGAACGACCTTCCGGACGAAGCCAGGGCTGCGAGAGCTGAGCCCCTTGCACGAATTTCATGCATCGGGCCTCTAGTAATAATAATAAGCTACTGTTTAGTGTGCCAGGTACTGAGTTACATGTTTCACATGCATTATCTCATTTATTTATCACAAAAATCCTAAGAAGTATTATTATCTTCATTTTAATGAATGAGGAGGCTAAAGTTCAGAAAGGTTAAGTGACTTGCCTAGGATCACTGTACAGGTAGTAAGAGCAGCCCGGGAAGATTGACTCCAGAAAGAAGTGTAAGTTTTTAGCACTTCTCAAGCTCCTATTATGTGTGGAAACAGTATCAGACACATGGTACTGTATAAGCAGGCAGGTTTCGAGCCCACATTTTATAGGTGAAAGACAAAGGCCCACTGAGGCCCACGGGTATACCAGCTAGGAAGTGGCTGGGCCAAGACTTGACCCAGGGTCTTTCTAGGCTGTCTCTAAAGCCGGAGGGCGGGGGGGGGATGGGGGTGGGGGGGTAGGAATAGGACAGCACAGCCCCTCCCTTCTTTCTCACCTTGGCTTTCTCAAGCTGGGCTAATGCCTGGCGCTCTGCCTCCTTCCTTAAGGCTTCTCGGTCCTCTTCCAGAGACACATCAGAGTCCGATGGACGGCTGGTGTAGGACTCCGCTGAGCCCTGAAATGACAGGGCCAGCTGAGGGCCATCACTGCCTCCCCAGCTCCTGGGCCTCAGAAGGCATGGAGATGCCACCCATCATGGATGCCTCAAGCTCCAGGCAGCCCAGCACGATGCCACGGGGCTAGAAGAAGGTGGTATTAGAAGGGACTGACGTTTGCAGGCCCACAAGAAAGGTGTGGCCCTAGAAAGGGTGACGGCAGTGAGCCAGGGGTTAAGGCAGGTCCAAGGACAGCTGCTCGGGGCCCCGGGAGGGGCAGGAACCTGATAGGGGCAGCGCAATAGAGGAGTGCCAGGGGACGAATCTCCCCTCCCTGCTCCTCGTTCCTTCCCCGCCCCTCAGCACCAGCTGAGACAGACTCAGCAGAAGCCCAGTGGGTCCTTCCAGGGACTGTAGCCACCAGCACAGGCCTGAGCTTTCTGCACTGTTGGCAGTGGGCAGCCTTCTCGGCATGACGGGGCCGCCAAAAGTTCTGCTGTCTTGTGCTCAAGGGTGAGGGAAGACAGAATCCTACCTCCCCCAGCAGAACCAGGGGAGCCCCAACCCTGAGGCTCCCAGAAGATACAAAAGAAAGTCCAAGATTCCTGAGATGGTGCAGGCAGCAGAAGCCAGTGAAGAGCAGGACACGGGGCAGGCCTTTCCTTAGCGCCAGGGCTGCAGCTGCCAGGGGTAAGGCCGGCTCAGAAGTGGGGGTGTGCCAGGACCACATCGACCATCCCAGAGCATAACTCCTTCAGCGATGCAGGCACATGTGTAAGACACCAATAGTCCAGACCCCCAGTGTGAGTGAACACGCTTACTCATGGGTGCGCTTGGATGTGCAACTTCAAGTCCATTTAGGAGGGTGTGTGCTATAGTATGTGCTGGATGTCATGACTGAATGCAAGCAGGTACACATACAGGGGGCACCCTAGGTGTCAGTGTCCCTGAGGGTGTGCAGCACCCTAGGGCAGGAGCCAGGAGGCGTGGATTTGTGTGTCTGAGCAGCGGTGCTGTTCCTACAAGGGGTGGAAGGTGACGTGGGGAAGAACAGGACTGAGGAGGTGTGGGGTTTTTTTTCCTGAGGGCACGAAAGGGTCACTTGTCCAGAAATGCCCATTAGTTGGTATGGAGGGGACCTGAGGAGAGAAGACACAGTCCCACCTCCCTCAGAGGGCCCTGGTCATTAGCTAGTGCGGTTGTCCATCCTTTTCCCAGCCAAATCATGAAAATGGGAGACTCGTGAGGGGACAGGTTGGAGGTGGGGGGTGAAGTCACTTCCAACAGAAGCTGGAAAAGAGACGTAAAGGAAGGAGAGTGGAAACCAGTTCGATGACCACTCTTCACCCCTCCCGACGGGAGTACTCAGAGTCAGGGAGACAGATGCACAGAGAGCCAGAGAGAGTGACAGAGAGGCACCTACTAACCGACACACACATGCACACGCGTTCACGCACATGCACGCACACAGACATGGCAGGAACGGCAGGAGACAGGGAAACAGTGAGGAGGCAGAGAGGCAGGCTTCCTTGAGGGGCTGCTCCCACCCTGCCCCCATCCCCAGCTCACCACCACGAGGGTCCGGCTGGGCGCCTCCATCACAGCGCCCTCAGTGCCTGGCCCCGCTGGCCGAGGAGGTGGCCCAAACTGCCCGCTCCCCCAGGGGGCTCAGATTACAAGCAGAGTTGCTACATGTGCAAACTGCTAGGGTATATTTAGCTCAGAGATGTGGCAAGGACTGCCCCCCCCACTCCCTGCCACCTACTGGGGGTCAGGGCTAGGGAGATGAGAGGAGAAAGGATTAGAGACTGGGGTCTGACAACCTGGGTTACCAAACACTGAGGGAACCAAGTCCTTTTTCTGTCAAGAGGAGTTACACTGAGAGCACAGCATCATTCTTCCTAGCCTGGTCCTAGCCCAGTCCTGCAACAGGAGGGATGAAGGAGACTGAGGAAAGGACTTCCTGTCTGTATACCTAAGAGATGCTAGGATGAAGGGTGCCTTTCCTGGGCTCACATGTGCCAAGTGCTGGGGAAACAGGAATCAAAAAGAAGGGCCTCACTCCCATCTGTGGTGGATCTGCCTGGTACCATCCTCCCTCTCCTGGTCCAAGAGGGGGCTTGACCTCCAGAGGACCCTTCCTCCCAACTACCCCTGCCCTCATATGCCCCGCCCGCTTCCTCTTCAACGCACTCCTTTTCCTTGTCTGATCCCAAGCCCCTCTCCCTTTTTTGTTGAGATGCTCTGTAGTCATAGCAACCACTTGCTTCTCCCTGAGCCTGAGATGGCCTGGGGTTGAGGCTTAGAACAGAGATGAGAACGGCGTCTTCCTGACTGAGCACAGAAGACCCCAGAAAGCTGTTCAGTGACCCTGCCTTCAGTCAGGGGTGCTGGGCTAAAGTCCTTTCTCAGATCATCTCCCTCCTGCCAGTACCCCACCTCCTTCAACACCCGTTCTCTCTGCATATTAAAGAACAGTCACATCTGGATATGAGGAGCGCCTTTCCCTGACCCACACCTGACCAGGGCTCCAGGGACTCAAATGTCCTGGCTCCTCATTTCTTAGGACTTGCCTCTACCCAACGCTGTCACAGATTCTGGGGGAGGACGTGGAAGCAGACAGCCGGCAGGGGGAGTGGGTGACAGCCTGAAGCAAGCTAGGAGGCAAGCCAGGCTGTCCCTGAATGAGATGACGCAGGCAGGCAACAGGGTTGGTGCCTGGTGCTGGGGGAGGGGCTGGGCGGGGGCTGAGGGCGTGGTTACAGCTGACAGTACAGGCAGGAGAGGTCATGGGGTGTCAGCATGATGGGTGGTTCCAGGCAGGCGACAAATGGCATGGGGGAGGGTGCCGGGAGAAAGCCTCAGACCCAGCTCACCAAAGCTGGGCTCCAGCAGCCAGCCACCTCCCTCCTCTCGGCCCAGCATGCCCGTTACCTGGCGCACAAAGCTGTTGGATGTGGTATCCGAGGATGTGCTCCCGTCCGACCTTTTGAACCGTCCTTTCCTCTTGCTGTATTTGCCCTGGAGGAGCCAGGAAGGGACAAGAGTGGGATCAGAAAGGCCCCTTCCCAGCCCTTACCCTATGGGGCTAGAGCTACAGCGAAGCCTTGCAAATATCATTCCCTGATCTGAACAGCCCCCCATATTCTTCCTGAGATGGTACAGCCCGAAGGGGAGGGAGGGCACAGACCACAGCCATGGGGTCGGGGGACAGTGCAAGAGAGCCCTCAAACTAAGCCAGAGGGGCTGGGAAGGGGGAGGCACTGAGTAGCTGGAGGCTCATTAGGCAGCAAAGCTAATTAAGATGCTGGGCAGGCTGCAGAGGCCTGGAGGGAAGGGAGAAGCCGCCTGCAGGGCTGGGGGGGGGGTGGTGGTGGTGGTGGTGAAGAAACCTGGGGAAAGTCCCTCTCCCGCTCCCCCTCAGCTGGAGGGGAGCAGGCTGAGTGTGCTGTGGCCCCTAGAGAGAAGAGGAACTGCCAATTGCCAATAGGGCCCCGCTTGGCTTTTCTTGTGCCCAACTCCTGCTTTCCTTTTTTGCAGAGCGGGGAGGGGATGGGCAGCTTTCAGCTCTAGGAGACCCCACACTAGATTTCCGGGGAGGGGGTGCGGTGTGTGGTAAGTAAACTTCTAACCCTGGCCCACGGCCATGGGGCACCCCTACCCTGGCAGGACTTTTTCTCAGGCCTCACCTCTCCCCAAGGGGGCAAGAGGGATCGAGCACCCTCCCACTAACCCCCGGCTGCCACTGCCAGCATCCTGTCCCTATGGCACCCACCAGGCTGCATCCGTCTAAATGCCCCCTGGCCCTGCCCCAAGATGAGCCGAGGAGACAGCTCCCACAAGCCCCTGGGGTAGGCGGGCTCAGTCTCACTGAGGAGGCTCTCGTCTTGGCTGCAGTGGACACTGCCTGACCACGCAAACAGCCGCACATGCAGCTATGTCCAGGCCTCCTGAAAGGGGCTGCTTCTTAGCCCTCCCCAGCTCACACACACACACTGACCCCAGGCCAGGCCAGAGGAGGGGGTCATGATGAATGAGGGTTTGGGCCCTCCACGCCCGTGCCCCCAGCCTGCATCCTAGAATTTCTTTACCAAAGAAGGTACCTACGCCATGACCAGACTAGGATCTCTGGTTCCTTGGGCCCAAGTACCAGGAGGAGGATGAATAGATGGCAAAGAAGGGCACCTGGGAACCCCAGAATCCTCCCTCCTCCACCTCTCTTTAAACCAGACATACACCCTACCCCTGGAACTGGGGATCCCTACAAACTTAAGAGGATCACCCAGGAAGCTCCGACTCGCTCTCACACCACCACCCCAGGCTGGGAAAAGGGAGTGGCACCCAGAGGACAAGGGACAGCTGAAAGAAAGGCCAGTCAGCTGCCTCGCAGGCTCCAAGGGGCCGGGGGTGGAGGAGGAGGTATTTTTAGGCCTGACCTGACCCCCGCCACACACACATGCAGATTAACCACATTATCAGGGCGGTTACAGTTGCTCCACTCTGGCCACAGCCAGAAAAGAGTTAATGCCATCCCGGCCTTGGGGTGTTGCCAGGTTAGAGAAGGACGTGCCCAGAGGAACCAGCCCAGACCTTGCTCGTCATGCAGGGGCACCCACCACACCCGAGAATGCCCCCTCCTCGGAGTCACCCGTGGGCACAGCTGAGTGTTCGTGGGGGCGGGGCAGCAGACCTCCTCCCCCAGGTAACACAGCTTCTTCCCCTCCAGGACAGTGAGTTGGCATCCATCCAACTTTCCAAACTTTGGAGGCATTTTCCCGGGGCTGAGGGGGAGGGGAGGACTGGCGGAGAGCGAGAACGTGGGTGTTGGGGGCGAGGAGCTGGTCCAATACAAGGGGTGTAGCTGACGTGGCCGGAATGGGAGCCTGGCCCCTTCCCCACTCTCCAGGGCCACGGTCTGCGGCTCCGAAGGCCTGCTGGCGCCGCCCTCTGACTAGCGCCTCGGCCATCGCCCAGAGCCACCCCCGCCCCACCCACCCCCGCCCGGCGCCCAAGAGCGTGCTCTGCGTCGCCCCCTTTGCCTGAGCTCGCTCTCCAGCCTCCCTCAACCCCGGGATCCCCCCGCCAGCACCCCCACTCTCAGCCCACTGGAACCTGTCCCCGAGCGGCAGGGACACGAGGAAGCGAGGGTGACAGGCGCTCCGCCTGCCTCCTCCGGCTCCGCAAACCCGCAGCCCCATTCCGGGCCAAGCGCCCATCCATCATGAACCCGCAGGGGCTGGGGGCGAGCAGGCGCCCCGCTCCGCTCCGCGCCGAGCTCATAGCCCCTGCCTCCCCGCGGCCCCTCCAGCCAGCCTCTGCGCCTCACCTGTGGTGGGCTGGGGTCGAAGACCTCCATGGGGATCTCCTGGGAGGGTGGGTAAGGGCCCCGCGACATGCTGGTCTTCTGGACCATGGAGAGGAGCCTCCCCTCCGGCCGCCGGCCCGGCCCCGCCGGGCGCCCTCAGCGCACGAGAGGCCGTAGGAACCGCGAGCGGCGCCGCGCAGCCAGCACCGGATCCAGCCACCTGGCCCTGCCTGCGGCTGCCCTCTTCCTGCCGTCCCTCCCTCCTCCCCTCGCTCCTCTGCCGCCGCCGCCGCCGCCGCCGCCTCCGCCCCCGAAGGCTCAGCATCTCCCCCCGCCCCTCCGCCCGCCCCGGCCCCGCCCCCCGCAGCCCCTCCGCGGGCTCCGCGCGGACAATGGCCGGGCGGCTGGCGGGAAGCGCGCCCCTCCTGGCCCCGGGCAGAGCGCGCGCGGGCCTCCGACCCGCCCGGGGTGAAGGCGGCCCACGCTGCGGGGGCAGGGGTGGGGGTGAGAAACTCGCCTGAGGGTTGGGGGCCGGGGGTGGCGGTCTGCCAGGGGATGCCAAGCGCTAATGGAGGTGTAACGCGGCTTAGCGTGGCTGGCACCGCGCCCCCCTTCCGTCCCAAACCGCTCTTCCTAGCTGGTCTCCCCGTTCCAGCTTGGGCCACCGGATCGTCTCGGTCCCGGGGACCGGCTTTAACTGCTCTCTCCCCTGTGTGAGCTCAGGCCCCCTGGAACCAAACGGAGTCCCCTCCCCGCCTCTAACTCTGGGCTGGCCGGCGGGGGGCTGAGGCTGGAGTGGGGAGGGTGTCCAAAGGGAGTCCCAGCTGAGCACACGAAATCCCAGGGACCCAGGAGTCCGTCTGTCCTGGCTGCTAGTATCCCAGGCCCTTCCAAAAGGCCGGGATTGGGGCTGGGTGAGGTCCGTGTTCTTTGGAAGAGAGAAGAAAAAGGACGAAGAAATGAGCTGAGAGGAGAGACTGGCTAAAATCAGATCTAATGACCATTGACCTAGGATTGCTCCCTCTTCATCCTTATTTGGGGACAAATATCCAAGGCCTGGACTCCACTTACCATGCATGATCTTCGGAGAGAAAAGGAGTAGGGGATTCTGGCAAGAGACCTTGGTGCCAGTTTGGCTCAGGCTCCTTCTGGTCATGTGGCCCTGGACAAATCACTACACCTTTTTTGAAAAATGGGGTTGCCAGTACTGTGGTATCTTTGTCGCCTGGGATTATTGGGAGGATGGGGGGAAATGAAATTAAATGATGGATTGCTGGGGCCTTTGGAGATGTTGTAAGGTGCTGTGTAGGGGTCAGTCATGACAGGAGGACCTGTTATCTCCCTAATCTACCCCTCCCGCTGCTCCACAAAGAGGAGAGGTGAGAAGTAGAATGGAGATTTGCCCAGGTTTAGTGACCCTGATATAAGGCCGGCCTGCAACAAGTAGATGGCCAGCCTACATTGTTTTTCTGATAACATCGCTTTCAGAGAGATTGCAGCTGAAACCCATTAGCATTGTCCTATGAGCAGATCCAATCGGAGCAGGGTCCCCATCTGCCCATTGGTCACAAGAGAGCTTGGCATGACAGAAGGTACAGGTTTTGCAGTCAGAAAGACCTGGATTTTCCATTTCTGATACCTCACTTAGCTGTAACGTGACAATGACACTAATTGTGTTGTGAGAAAGTGGCATAAGTTTTGCTCCTCTTTCTCCCTTTTTGACCCGAGCTCTGTTTAGCAGCCAGGAAAATTCAGATAGAGATGGGGTAATCAGGTGGAGCCAGCACTCAGATCCAGGTTTCTGGGACCCCAGAATATTCTCCTTGGGTTTTTGCACTGGGTACGCCAGACCAGGGGGGGAAGAACTATGGGTTGTGCGGTCATTCGAATTGTTTTCAAACTTTCACAACTATGCATTCACTCAGCCAAAATACTATTTTTCAAGTGTTTACTATGCTCTAAGCTCTAAACCTGCTGTAGTGCAGTGTAAGCCAAACAAGTTTCCTACGATCAAGGAGCTTGTCTTAAAGCTTCCCTTTGCGAGTAGCAAACATTAACTCACGTGATTTTCACAACTGGGTTACGGAAATATTACATAGGAGAAAGTTGAGGCACTAAGAGATTAAGAACCACAGTGGTGCAAAAACAAGCTAATGTCTTTGGTGGCCTATTTTGCACTCCAGGGGCTCCCGATCTACCGAGAAAATGAATAAAAAGGTGGCTTTTGCCTAATATGTGCCCTATTATTTTCTTCCGCTTCATTCACTAATGTAGAGAATACAGGGTGCCTGCAAGGACTGAGCCACTCTAGAAAAATCCCCTACCGCGCCTGCGCAATGCAGCTGACATCCGGCTCCCACTCACCACGTGATCAGGCACCCGGC